AATCAGAAAAGTAAAGGGAAAAAAAGGAAACTTCGAGTAGAAAATGGTAAGAAATTGAGAAAAAGGTTTCCGATGAGAAAAAAGCTTGTTAACAGCAAATAGGAAAGTTTTACAAACCCGGTAGACTTCCAGTCGGTGTAAACTTATTGTTGACACTTTTTCCAAAATGTTACGGAGTCGCTCTTGTGTTGCATGAGAGACTAAGTTCAAAACATCTTGCGATACATCTGAAACTCCATGTTTCCTTGCTGTGAAACACACATCAAAAATGATTTAAAAGATTTTCACTTAATGCTATAACAGTTTCCAGTGAGGCCTTAAACTACTCTAAAAATAATATTAGCAAAAAAATTTGAAAACACATCTCGGAGCTTTTGCTGATCCACAACATTATCCCTGATGATTCTGCGATGATCTTGGAGATTTGCCTTTAACTGTTTTTGTTGTTGTTTTTTTACAGTAGTTTAAGGCCTCATTGGAAACTCAGTATTAAACCATTTTCTACCAAACGACAACATGAAAAGATAATTTCTCGTTAACTTGACTGAAATAATTGTGAGAAGAGAGTGGGCAGGAATGATGAAGATTGCTGTCTTTTCCTGCTTTTTAGATCTGGAAATCTTAAGGTTTGCACACATGACAAAGTTTGTGCCTCTTCAATAAAATAACACCCCTTCCTATAGCTTATGCAACAGAGGAACTAGTTGTAGATGGAGAAAACTTTGCTCTCAGACTATTTTCATTTTATATTCACCAAGACAGACCATTTGTCCCCCAAATCAAAACCAAACATGACATTTTAAAGAGAAAATGCCTTCATCCCTAGTAAATGCCTCAAAGCCTCATTAGTTGTCAGAAGAGACACAACAACATACTCTAGGATCTTTTTCCTGGTTTCTTTCTTTGTTTTGTTTTTGACTGTTTTTTGTTTATATCAAGGTCTCAAGAAATTAATGGGCAAAGAACTTTCGAGGTAATCTTAAAATCTAACCAGCACATATACAGTACATGTACACTACAGGAAGGAACTTCTATTTGGCAACACAGCCAAATGTCATTCTACAATAAAAATATTTGTCTCTTTGACAAAGGACTGCAACCAAATGTAAATAAACAAAAATAAGCCTTTCCTTAGACTGACCTAGTGCCTCTAGTCTTTTCTGAAAGGGTGAAATATTTAAAAAAGGTTCATCTTTACAGCTTCTTGTTTGAGAGCTGAGTAAGTCTGAGTTTATTGCTAAAATCCGCTGACTCTCTTCCTGTTGAGAGAAAAAAAAGGAAAGAAACTTAATACATGTATTTTCAATGTTACATACCTTCCAGCAAGCTATGTTTATACCAGCAAACAGTAACCATATATTGTTCAACCCCCATACACTGGGTTGAAATATGAAATACTCACCATTAAATTAACACCAGCCATTGAGGTAACATCATTTATGTCATCATCACCACTACTGCAAATGTGAAACCCAAAACAAAACTTCAGTCAACATGTTCCAACCATTTTGTGAACAAGCACTGCATTATTTGAAACAACAACGCTGCACAGTTTATGTGTACCTGACTGAAATCAAAGTGCAGCATACTAGTTTATTCTTTAATTGAACCTTTACGTAAACAGTTCTGAAGAACTAACTCAAAGTGAAACAATTGGACAAATTTATGTCCAAAATAATTAATTTGGCTCATTGGACTGTTTTGAAAGCTATGACAAACAATTCTTTCAATCACATGGTGCAATGAAACCTGTATTCAGTGGAGGGAGCAGACACCAATATTCATTGCTTTTGTTTCAAGTAGCATGCACTTAGCATATAGCCTAAAGACAAATTTTCCTAATAACTAAAATCTTTTGCAGTGTAAGATGATTGTGTTTACCAGTTGAAAAAAAACAATTCCAATAATTAGTAATTAGGTTCACAAGGTTGATGATTATTCCTGACAATAAGAAAACTATTAGATGTGGTCCTGTTTACAAGCTAGCAAATTATTATTTGTTATCACGTATTTACCCAGCAATCAACAATTTACCATTATTGCCCGGTTTGCCAAAACCTGTATTGCCCAAAGCAAACATTCTGCATTGCACAAACACCCTGTATTATGCACACATTAGCAAGAGTCGTGTGGTTGTCTCCTTAATTCAGGTTCAGTGTGTTACAGAGTATCATACCTGCTGATTCCAGTGAAACCTTTGGGCTTCAATTTATCAGCAACTGCTGAAGCTGATAACGTTACTGGTTGTGTTTTTGTTGAAGGTACAACTTTAGCTGCTGTTGACCCTGGTGGTGCACGCACCATAACCACATTCCTTGCACTAGTAACAACCTGAGAACCAGCAGTTGTACCTATTGAAGTCTTCACAAACACCCTCTGGGCATTAGTAATTGGATGTTGTTGCCTGAAAAGTTCCTGTTGTGCTGGTGTCAGAAAGACTTGCTTTAACATCTGTTGTCCTGGTGGAACAATTTGGATTTTTTGCACATGGGAGTTATGTTTTTGTATCTGTGCAGAAGTTGAATTTGCAGGGCTAGTATTTTTTGGTTGAACTGGATGCTGCTGAGGAAGAATCTTTTGTGGAGTTATTGCTTGTGGGACATGTTGCAAAAGCTGTAAATTTGGTTGAGATCTTGACTGTGCTCGTAGCAATGGAAGTGTTTTCTGCAGAGAAAAATGCATTGTTTAATAGAGTCTAAGTTAAGCAAGCTGAAACTTCTTCTGATGTAAATTGAAAATCAGATCATAAAAGAAACAAAGTTAGGTAATAGTCATCAGTTTGGCAACCAAGCTTTTCACCAAGGATACCAGCTTACCTTTAAAAAGCCAACAAGATTGGGTTGAGGGGGAGAGTTAAGTGTTGTCTGCAGATTTGATGCAAACTGTTCCTCTGTGAGTTTTCCATCCTAAATGAGAGGATTTAGCAAAATGTTCAGCACATTAATTTGTAATGCACAGATACTAGCTACTGATTTCAGATTTTAAAAATACCTTTATCTTCCTCAATCTCCAAAGGAGGTAAGAGGGGGATTTATTAGGGTCAGGTGGCACTGGAATGAATCCCAATATTTTCCAATTTTTCAACGGCAAAATTAACAAATTTTGCAATTTCAAAATTTTGGTGGTGATTGCATTTGACTAATATTTCTTAACCAAACCTTTACTGACAGGCCCATACATCAATCACAAACCAATCTCACTCTTTTGAGAACACAAAACATCTCATGTGAATCTCAAGGCAAGAAAGAATCATATTTTTTTAATGTAACATAGGACACCCCCCTGGTGGATCATTCATCTAAACTGTCTATTTTCATATGCCTATCAAGCCCCATTCTCACAGAATAAAATTGAAAAAAATCATACCCAAATCAATCAGAATGATCTTCTTAGAGAGCATTATTCAAAAGTTACAATAATGAGGTAATACTGCTTGAGCATTTGTGATCTGTGTGAATACTTGACTGGCAGTGCAATGTATAACTGCTGAGTTTTGGAGGGATTGGCAGCAACATTAGTTTTAACCTTTTTACTGATGGGCTGGCATCAGATGTGTTACTGGATTACTCAGATAACAATAAAACAAAAAAAGAAAAGTTCAATGGAACAAGACCATCTTCTTCAACTTACCAGAACACCTTGTACCAATTCTTTTACAGTCTTACCAACATCTGGCGATTTTTGATCAGATGCAAGCCTTATCAAGTTATTGAAGAAGTTTTTAAGCTTATGGGCTTGATCTTTTACTTGTTCAATAATTGTTGCATTGGCTGCACTGACTGGTGGTGTAGTAGAAGTTTGTGGCGACTTGGAATGATTGGAATTAGCATTATTTGTGACAGGTTTACTAACAGGCAAACCAACATTTGCTGCATTAGAAGTGTTCGAAGTTTTAGTCACAGAACCAGATGCAGATACAGTACCAGCAACAGAGTTTGTTGTTGCAACAGCAATCTGGCCTACTGGCATTCTATAAGTAATTGCACCTGGTATTGAGCTTATTTGAGGTCGGATGGGGGTTAAAGTAGTTCTTATTCCTGTATTCTGTGATACACTTACACTCGCTGGTACAGGGCGAATTTGGGTTTGTACGGGTACGATGTTGATTTTCTTGTCGGGTTGAATTACGGTGCTTCCCGGTTGCTGCTGTAGTACAATTTGAGGCCTAAGATTGCCTACTGTCCCTACTGTCATGTTGGTAACTCGTGGTTGAATTTGCGGAATAATTCGAGGCCCGGAGATTATTTGAGGATTGCCTTGGACAGTCACATTACTTGTGACAGCCCTTGGTGCTAAAGCGATTTGCTGAGGAATCAAATTTATGTTCCGGTTAACCAGATCGGCATTGATCATAGTGGTCACGAATTGAGGGGCTCCCGTAAAACCAGAGTTTGGAGTAAGAACAGCCATAGTTGCCGGTCGTGGAGCTAACGGAACGGCAGTTGTAACCGTCGGTCGAGGAGCAATATTCACAACAGTAGAAATAGATGTGCTACCACCCGCATTTAGCACTGGCGATGAGGAAATCCCTGGACGAACGGCAGCCACCGCTTGGCTTTGAATCGGGGTCGATTGATTTGGGGTTTTACTAGTCATGATGCTTTGTTTAGGACTAGTTTTGGAGACTGGAACCGTTGCTTTGACTTCATTATGATGAGATCTAGGGATCGCTGTCGATGCCAGCTGGCTTTCCAGCGATCCCACCATCGCACTGACCTCCTTCTCATCTACTTCTTTCTCGAATAGGTCTTCTAGAAAGGAAGACGCCATTTGGCTACCATTCTATAGATGCAGTGGCTTAAAAAGTAAAACAGTATTATGGGATAGAATATTCGCCGCCACGGCGCAACGGCGGCTGATTGGCTCCTTGGTGTGACGTAAGTGCGCATGATTGAGCGAGTACGCATATAAGACTTGGGATTAACCGCTAGAAATGATACTAATGTGATTAGGGGCTCTAAACTAGCGTGACTCACTGACCGCTAAGGCACGGAGGCGCTCTAAAATATCGATAGTTATGTTTACTGGAGGCCCGGGACGGTAGTGGAAATCTTTGTGGGTTTCTGGAATGCAATTGATGCTGCCTTTTTCACATGTTTTTGTGAACTTCTGTATACGATAATTCGAGGCTGGTGATCGTGTGGTTATATATGGGAATTAGCTGTTGCAAGACTCACGAAGCACTGCGCCAGGACAGTTATGATGTTGATTACGGAAGAAATGTCTCAACAAGTCATGGTGGTTCTAGTTACACAGATGATCTTGTTATGGATGCCCTCCGTGCTCTCAGGAAGCTCGCAGAAAAGTAAGTCCCTACCAGTATAATTTCTTTTGGCGTAACGGAAGCATGCGAATTGTAATTTATCGCATAAATTTCCTGATGATGAGGTGCAATCAGTAGACTATAATAACATGACGAGGCTGTCAATTTAAAACTTGACAGAGAACAAATGTGTTAAAAATTAAATTTTTATTTTTTCGAATTCCAAGAATCGATTATAAATAAATGTTTCCGTTTCACAGCAATATGTTTGGCTCTCAAATATAGTTTAGCTTGGTAATCTTTTGAATTTTTATCCTGCATACCAAGGCGCAATTTGTACAAATTGCCACTGCAACATTATTCGTTAAAAGAGAAACAAAACACCTGAAATTTTTGTTACTTGGAATTATGTAAATCCTTCAAATAATTTTTGCCAAATAAGGGGGTTAAAACTGATGATTGCAAAAACATGTTCTGGTTTCCTAAAAGAAGTTTTTCAATACCTTAAACAGGCACAGTATTATCATTAACAGGTTACTCTGATATCCAATCTGTAAAGTAATTCTTTATGTAAAATTTTCCCTGCTGTCATATAAATTATTTATGGCTTTCCTTGTGCTTCAAAATGATCGTTGCTAAAAAAGTGCTGGAAATTAAGAATGAAAGTACAAATTATAGGTTAAAAAATTTCCAAAACATTGATTCATAGATATGAACATGAACAAGTCCAACATAATGTTGATATAAAATAAATATTACCCATGTTAATGTGCTTGTTTGAAAAGAAACATTTTAATCCCAAGAATAAAAAAGGTCGGCAAATGCAGTGATTTTAATTCTTTATCAGGAACAAAGAGCATTCTTAAATTTCACAAGGTCCTTCATGTGGTTTTGTTGCTTCTGCAGCTTCACGTTGTCTTGTTGGTGACAGTACTCAGCCATTGTCTTTGAGGCACTTCTTTAATCCATGTAAAGCCTTAAATTTTTCAAGCATATTTTCCTGTAGTGTCTAAAATTGCGGTTCAATTATGACAATAAATTTGTGGCTTTTTATCTTATCCACTCCTCAAAATGTTATTTCACTTAACTATCATTTGAAATAATGATCTTTTACTCACCAATAGTTTTGATCCTTCAGTGTTTCTTGTATGAAAACTTAACATATCCTTACTTTTTTAGTAACATGGAGCCTCCAGAATGCATGACAATTTTACATTCTCTGGCAGAAGAAGGTAAATGGATATTTCTTTATATAACTTTTGAACTTTTTATAATGAACTGAATGTCATTTCAAGCATAAGGAATATTATATTGCTCTTTACTTAACACAGAGGAGGGATGGCTGAATGTTGTCAAGTCATGCATATTTGCTATTCCTCTGGAAGATTCACTTGGAGCTGCTGTTGTGTGTCTTCTTCTTGATGAGTGCCCACTTCCTACAAGGGTGAATGCTTTATTGAAAATTTCTCACAAATGTAAAATTGCTTGAAAAAACATGGTAAAAATATAATATTAAGGTTTCAAATTTTCGTTTTGATTAAATTTACAAACTACAACATATGAAGTATCACAAAACTCCTCTTCATTCCCTTGAAAGTTTGTTGAGGTTATATCTAGTATCTAGATAGCATTATGTTTTGACAGGTTTATTTTAAGTCATGTTTCTTGACTAGTGCTTACTATTTTTAAACAACATAAACTGTTACATTAACTACACTTAAATTCTTGATTTTTAATTCAAGGATGCAATAAAAACTCTCTCATCAAAGCTGAACCTGTCCAAGAGCCTGAAAAAGCTTGTGTTCAACACCGAGAGAGATCACCGTCAAAATGAGCTCACATCTTCTATTTGCCGTAACTTGGCTGTTGTTTTGGCATGTCTGGCTGACAAGTTGGCTGGTTTGTTAATTTGCTTCAAATTTAAAGATCTATTTGGGTTGATTACTAACTTAATTGCTCTAACTAAAAGGATTATTTGTTTTCAACCTAAGGTCCTCTGAGTATTGTATTGTTGACTCAAGGTACACTGGAGTTTCTTTTGAAAAGACTGGTAAGGCATGGTGATCCAATGACATTACCGTATTTACCCATGTATAATACGTGCTCATTTATATAATAAGCTCAGTTATGCACGCATTCTGATTGGTTCTCACTTATTATCTATTGGAGGACAGACGTATAGATGACATCATCATTAAAACTTTTTTTAATTCTTTATTATATAAAACAAATAGATTCCAAGTTGCCAACTTGGAATGTATTTGTTAAGTAAAATATGTACCCTGATTTTTGACCAAATTTTTCATAAAAAAAAGTTTTCACAGCAAAAAAAAAAGTTCATTCTTCCTACAACTGACGTTTTGCAGTGGTGAGTTTGTTACCATTTCGAATTTCTTATCACTTGTGATTACAGTAATACAGTACGATCGTAAGGTTTATCTCATCAGCTGTTTATTAAATACTCTACTAAATTTATTTATGGATCAAAATTGAAAATGTTTCATTGGTAGATTATTTAACTCAAGCTAATAAAGACCAATTACTATGAGGCTTTCGTTACTTTCTTTGTTGTGTTTGTGGATCGAAATTGAAAATGTTTCATCGGTAGATTATTTAACTCAAGCTAATAAAGACCAATTACTACTAGGCTTTTGTTACTTTCTTTGTTGTGTTTTTAATGTATGCAAATTAGGACATGCTTGAAAAACAATAGAAACTGTGTATAATACGCACTGTGATTTTGATGGTTATTTTTATAGAAAAAAAGAGTGTCTATTTACTAGGCTCTCTTTAATAGCTGGATAATGTCTTCTCATATGAGATTATAATTTTGACTCAATGAATGCCTGATTAATGCAAATCTAATGTTAATGAGTTTTTTCTTTGTCTTTCATAGACAATAGCTGAATATCCTGGTGTAGTGCTGAATTCAATATTAGCTTTGGAAAAGTTTGCCCAGACAAGTATTATTATTGTTGTATTATTTCACTTTGTTATATATAGGTCATCTTGATATAACCCTAAAATGTTGAAAAAATACCAAGGAAGAGCAGGGAAGGGTTGATGCTGAAAACAGTCCCCCCCCCAGTACTACTGTGGATGGATTCATTTCCCAGACCTGGTATCACATGTGGGTTAAGTTTGTTAAAAGTTCTTGTCATGCCTCTGCCAGAGGGATTTCCTCCAGGTTCTCCATTTTCCCTCCCTTCTCAGCAGGAACACTCCAATTTCCAAGTTGGTCTTCAAATGAAAAATTGAGAACCACCTTTTGAATGTACATGTACCTCTGCTAAAATCAAATTTTGTAATACTTTTTATTTATTCAATAACAGTTAAGAGGAGTGATAACTTAAGCAAAGAGTCAATGTTAATTTGGAAATTTTTTTCTAATAATCAAGGAAATGACTTAAAGACATTAATTGACATTAAGTCAGTCTTGGATAAAACTAATCAAGCAGGAATACATCATAGAATCTTTTGTGCATGTCAGAGTAAGCTTTTGTCCCACTATCTGGTACAGAAAGTTCATAATTAAACATCTCTAACACTTAAATATGTAATCCATTGGTAATATTTACTTTCACTTTATGTGATTTAGATTATTGTTTTGATAGTATTAGTATATGCAAATAGACCAAATCATTGTGTGGAATTAACAGGTGAAAACAAGCTTACAATAAGAGATTCTGGTATCGCAGAGATGTTAGTAAATTTGGAGAAGGAATGGCTTGGAAGCAAAGACTTTGAGAGGCATCAGGCTGGATTTTGTTGTCAGTGGCTTCTTGACAATACATGTAAGTTTGCTTCAACCACTGGTTTCAATTTTTCAAAGTTGTAGCTCTCTTATCCATTCCAGGGAAGCTTCTGTTGTCATTCTGAACAAGCATTTATATCCAGTTTTCAATGGTAGAGCCTTTTCCTCTTCCTCTTCTTTTGATTAGCAGAACATCAGTCACTCTGCAAAACTGATTATTGCTTATGTGACCAAATGATTTTGCTGTTTTTGTTTGTTTTTCCTTTGTATGCTTCATTTTATTAATTGTCTGTGTCTTTTCATATTTATCTCCACTTTTATAGTTTCCTTTAAGGTAAGACACAGATAATAATGATAATAATAATAGTAATACATTTATATAGCATCTTTTCCCATTGTTCCAAAAATGCTTCACAGAAAGGGAAATTATAATTAAAAAAAATTTTTTGTAATAAAGTTAAAAATCAGGGTCAAAGTTACAACTGCAAAGGTTAAGTTCACACTTTCAAGAAAGTTGGGGAAGCAAGTCATACTAAGCTCATATTTTCATAAAAGAATCAGTGGTTTGATGGCATACTGGAGTCTTGCTTTATCAATTTGAAGTCGCAGTTGCAAAGATGAGTTGATCTTTCATTTAATACATAGAAATAATATTGATTTCAGTATCCCTCCCCTCCCAATAAATGACTTATTTCAGTATCCCTCCCATCCCAATAAATAATAGATTTCAGTATCCCTCCCATTCAGCTATCTCAGGCTGGGTTTAATTTTAATCACTTTTAATGGTTTTGTTCACAGAATCGCCCATACTCTTATGAAACAGCTGATGTTAGTGGTATCAATGTTATGCTTAATAACAATGATGTGAGCGATTATTTAAAAATATCCCCTACAGGACTGGAGGTTAGGATATTGTTCTATTGGTCACCTCTAAATGTTTTGTAAATCATCAGTGAGATGTTTACTGTGGTGAATAGTTTAACTGGTTGCCTGTGTTTTGGTAATGAAGAGTAGAAGACTCAGTACAAGTTGTGAATGTCTTGATGTGATCAGCTGATGCAGATATTAGACCTGACATTGAGTAATGCGTTTGATTGACAAATTTGAAACAAACTTGTCTGTGTAGTTGCTATTGTTTCATAAATCTTGTGTTTTATCTATAGAAAAAATAATCTATTTTAAATCATTGTTTCAGGCAAGGTGTGATGCATCTTCTTTTGAAAGTGTGCGGTGTACATTTTGTGCCTCAACTGGTCAGTTTCTTTTCATGTCAAAAATCAGATTAAATCTTATTAAGAGTCTTTTGACAATGATAGTTATGATGATTATAGTAGTAAGAATAATGAAGAGAATATTCCATTTGTATTACATTTACCAAGTGCACATGTTCATAAGCATATGAATGGAGCATGTGATTTACCTACAGCTGTAGATGTATAACTATAACAAGGTCAATAACTAGGAATACACTTACAACAAAAAATTACCTAAACCAGAACTTAAAGATTTAAAGTAAATGTCTCTTACAAGCTTCCTTGAATGTATTGAGACTCCCAGTAGAAATTAGATGTTGCAGTAGAAAATTCTAAAGGCCTGGAGCTGCTGACCTGAATATTCCTTTCCCTAATAATGCCAGTCCTATCTAAAAGAGAAGAGCCTCTTTGTGTGTGTTTGTTAGAGTGATAATCAGAGTGAAGCCAGGGTATGGTTTTTGATTGGTCGGCACCCTCTTTGTTTCACTGATTTATAACTGTGCCTCAGTTGAAAGGCACAAAATCAAATAGGTTCAAATTGGAATTTAGTGTTCTCTGTTCTCTCATTCAGCAGTTAATTCATCAAGATGTAGGACATTTAGACTTACACTGATTGAAAAAATTTCTTCATGCAATAATCATTTCGCGAAAAGTTTTGAATAAATTCAATAATCTTAGATGCAATTTAAAGGTGCGCTGCATCTCTTTAACTTGTGACCAAGTCAGTGCAAGGTCTTACTAATAGTTTTCATCAAGTCAAAAATTAATATTTGGTTTAATTGACATGTTGTTGTGTTCAGGTGTGTGGTATTATGAAGTGACTCTTCTCACAGCTGGAGTGATGCAGATTGGCTGGGCTACTAAGGACAGCAAGTTTCTTAATCATGTAAGTTTAGAGTGAAGCCCCCTTTCACTTTACTGATGTCATATTCTTTGTGCTCCATTGTGCCTTAGGTAATAATTCTCTGATCTGTTGGTGTTCCTCATTGATATTTTTTTCTAGGAATTGCTTTTTAGACTTTTAAGACTTACTCTGGAGCTCAAATAACAGTTGAAACTAATAATAACATTTATGGAATCTTATTGTGTTCTAATTATAAAGTCAATCAGCTTAAGACAATCAAACTACAAACATCAAAGGTAATTAGTTTGTGGTGTTGAGATTAGATAGGCATATATGTTGACTCAGGTAATTTAGTGTTAACAACTGGGTTGAAAACGTAAATTAGCCACTGTAAAGGGTAAAAAAGCTGACGTTTCGAGCGTTAGCCCTTCGCTCTGACGAAGGGCTTACGCTCGAAACGTCAGCTTTTTTACCCTCTACGGTGGCTAATATACGTTTTCAACCCAGTTGTTAACACTAAATTACCTGCTATACTCTCCCACCGACGCAGCACCACAGTTTCTTTAGAAACTTACCCCTTTATATATGTTGACTGGTCAGTTCACAGTTGACTTGATGCTATTGTTTTATACTGTACACTGACTATGAATGGCTGTTCATGAACACTTTTTCCAGGAAGGATATGGCATTGGTGATGATGAGTTTTCTTATGCCTATGATGGCTGCCGACAGTTGATATGGCATGGAGCCAGGAGTACCCCCCATCACCACCCCCCTTGGGTACCAGGTCAGTTGGTCACCTGATCATACCATTTTAATCCTCAATGTCACAAATCATATTGTCTTATTCATTATCAAATTTATCACGATATGTTTTTTGTAGGTGATGTTCTCGGCCTTCTTATCGATTTAGAGCGTGGTAAAGTGGCATTTTCCATGAACGGTGATACAATTATAAGAGACTTTAAGGCAGCACTTTCAGGGTAAGCTCTATGTAGAAGGATATAAGAAGGTAATCTTGGTTTCGTGCTGAAGTGTAGATAAGGACCAGTACAGATGATATGACTTGACTTCAGTTGGCATGAGATCACAGTCCTCCCATACGGTCGTGAGGGGAAATCTGCACAGGGATCACAATCACAATCACAATGGTGCCACTTTTCAGACCAATTTTCCCAGTTTGAGTACAGTTCAGAAACGTTTAATTCAAACTGTAGAAATCGTTTCTCAAGCCTTTGTTTTTATTTTAGGGCTGGATTCTTCGCTGCGGCAAGTTTTATGTCTTTTCAACACTGTATATTTAATTTTGGAGCTAAACCCTTCATGTAAGTATGTTTTCAGTGCTAAAGGGATGTATGGAAAACAAGTATTTGACCACCAGTTAGTGGATAGAGATAATTTTACAATGAGTATTAGTCTGCAGTTATTTCTTTACCAACGCACAGTTACTATACAGTGGAATATTGATTTGCCTTAGCGCTAAGAGACTGAGATCGTTCTTTGTCGGAGAATATTTTGATACTACTGGTCGAGGAAAATTAACCGTTCGTTTTAAAGAGGTTTTCGCAACGAGTTTTACCCTGACATCGAGGACCTCTGTTTGTGTAACTAAAGGAGCATCCCTGCTGCTTTACTTGTAGCCTCAAATGTTCTTTGTGCAGCAATAAAAACCCCTTGAATTTAAGGGCAAGAGTTTTATTTCATCCATGGTCAGCTTGAAAACTTCTACTGATTGCTTTCTTTTCAGAGTCTTTTAATCGCAGCTAAATTAGTCTTTCAGTCTACTCCTATCTTGAGAAATGTTTTTGTCTGTTACCGCCTTGTGTTCAATTTCACACGATACTTCAACTTATTTTACTCAACGTTCCTTTTACTTGACTCATTAATTATTGCAGGTTTCCTCCCAACGTCCCTTTCGACAATTTCAACGATCATGCAAACATGTCTTCCGAGGACAAAATAGTCTTACCCAGGTAGGACAGATGAAATTTTCAGTGAGAACAATCTCTTATTGAGTTTGATTTATTTCAGATTATTATTTTGAATAACACCTCGCACTCCAATGTTGTTAGCTTATGATCTTGGTCGTAACAATAAGATTTCACTTGACTCTGATGATGACTTCCGCTCAGGTTGTCGAAACGTCAGTTACCACTACCGACAACAGTCCTTTAACCGGCTGTGGGTGTGTAAGAGTCTAACATTATTCAAAACTCTTCTCTAGGCACCTGAAATTAGCTGCTATCCGCCAAGAGAGTATATCCAATGATCCTTGTAAAATATGTTATGAGAATTCTGCTGATACAAGACTGGAACCATGCAACCACAGGCAAGTCGAAAAATTAGCTACAACCAATTAAATTATTTAACCCTTCCATTCTTAAGGTGCCTTTCGTGTTTCGAATTTAAGACTTCACTTGAAACCTCTCGAAATAGCTGATTAAAATCTTTGTACTTAACTTGATCCTCGTTTTAAGGTACGTTTTACTTATAGGGACGTTTGTATGAGGTGCGCTGTACAACTCCAACACTGCCCTATGTGCAGAATGCACATTCAAGATAGGGTTTTGGAAGACCACAGTATGCCACCCTCGCCACAGGACACCAGCTGACAATGGTTGATGGCGTAAAGAAACAATTTTTATCAACGCTCGGACCCTGATGTGCTACGCTTTAGCGCGTGATCAGTAGTTGTTGAGACATGCTGTACTTAAGGCTGTAAAATTATGGTTATAGATTCATGATCGTTGCTCACTCAAAAATATGAGGCATAATTTTAACATTAAATTATTTGACATTACAAAATTTTCAATTACATTTGGGTTTTTCCGAATATTGAATTATTGTGTATCATCAAGTGTCGGTTAGCTTTGTTGGTTTTCCATGTTAATTTGTTTGCTAGTTGGGTTATTTATCATTTTTTTGTTTGCATATTGAAGGCTAACGAAACTTACCGGAACCTGTTGCAACTCGGAATAATGCTGAAAGCAAGCAGTTTTTATGTCGAATTGTGCAGAATGATGACAGTGTCTGATGTGCTGTTGCAAAAGTGTTTGAAAGTTTCATTTCTGGCATTGTAAGTTAATATTTGAATTCACAAAGAACTACAACGTCTCTGGATTATGCGATTCACTTTTCGCTTAAAACCAATGCATAAACTGTATATGCTGATATTATTACCTTCCGTATATTTTTTGGCTAAAAAAAATCGTTGTTTGCATGCAGTACTGTTAAAGTGTTTTCGAGGGCTCATCAAATTTCTTTCATTTTATGGTAAATTGTCGAAGTGAAAAAAGGAGAACCTTTCGCTGGTTTCTTTTATTTGACTGAGCTGGAATTCTAGCAAAAAACTCGCTTCGGATGCTTTTGAGATATCTACTGAGGCATTCAGTTCTCAACAGTTGGTCAAACGTAAGCGTGGTTTTTGAATGATTACTAGGATCGCGGAAATCGTAATGACTAGAATACAAATTTACTGACTTACAGTTGACATGTGAACTGATTTCAACCTTTCAGAGGACAGTTCCACGTGGTCATAACCAAGGTCTCCTTTTTTCAGAGGTCGTATTTTAAAACCCTCTGTTTTTTAAATAGACGGGAAAATTCTTATAGGTAATTCTAATAAATCATCTTTTACGTTGTCGTTAGTTTTTTAGCGTTCTTTTCCTGGGAGAGATGCAGCTGTTCTCTGTAAGAGGTTGTGGTGTGTTTTGGGTTAGTATGGGGGAGGGGGGGGGGCGGGGCGGTGAATACTGGAGACGATAGGAGAGGGACAGATGGAGTGCTCCGGAAACTTGATCTGGGTTTATATCACATTGAACAACAACAAGAGTTAAAGTTTTCTAGATTAGTGGAATGAAAGATAGCAGACTCAGTTTGGTTCACTTGAAAAAACGTCGTGTAGCGGTAAATTTGCACTCGTCTATTAGAAGTAGCCAAAGCCATTGCTCAATCCGGGCATGAAAATGGCCACCTTATTAAAACACATCGCGGTGTTCTCGTGTTGCATATTGCAATTATGCGGAACTGTCCATACACCTTACAAAATAACAATAGTTTTTAATTGAAAGGGCTATCCAAACTTATCTAAAATTTTCGCTGAGCGTAATAAAATATTTTTACATCGAGAGGTTATAAGGAAAATATCAGTTTGATCCTTGAGATTCCTGAGCCATCAGAGCCTCGATTTCATCTACCGTACGAGGCACATCTGTCAACAGCTCCACGCCTTCTGACGTCACCACTATGTCGTCTTCGATATGGACCTGGAAACATCAACAAAAGTAAATTCGTTTCATTTGAAGCAGCTGAAAGTTAAAAGCATGAGTCAAAAAATAAAGACGTGGTTGTCACTAGAACACCCAGACTCGTAAACATTCGTTATCTACCTGTTTTGTGGGGAGAGAAGATTGGATGCAAGAGTGTTGAGAGGGGTGTCTCAATCCATCTTCGTATCCAATCTTCTCTCCCCACAAAACACGTAAATAACGACTGGGTACGAGTCTGTAAAACACCTTCCTACAATGAATGATTAAGTCTCAAGAATATCTCACCCCTCCAACATTCCATAATCGGTTTAAGACTTCTCGGTTGAAGAAACACGCCGTCTCAGGATTTTCTAGTGCCTCCTCGATAACCTTGAAAAACATAAGCAGAGTTAGTGACAGTTGGTAAAGCTGTGTTGCAAACCAACATAACATGTCCAGCATACAATAGTGACATCATCATCAATGAACTTGCGTCAAGTGCAGTTGTATTTCCGGCCTTAAATTGCATGTGCAACGAAAAATTTAAAGACGACTTGAACCAAACTGAACGTACATTCTTATCAACAGTCGGCGACAAATATGCTGAACATTACCATGTCTGTCCCGCTTGAATAAAGCATCCCTTTCTCCGATCCCCCTTCCCTCTCCCCCAGAACAACGTTGTGAACTGTTTATCGTACGGTAGTTCTAGTATTATTCTTGGTTTTTCCACAAATGGGATACTTCACATGAAATTCTGACTTACTCCACGAATGAAATGAATTCCTGGTTCAATGGTGAGCACCATGCCTTCCTCCAGGACACGGGTAGTTCTGAGCGAGCAGAGGCCTGGTTCATTAATTCTTTCGGTTCCCTGTAAAAAAACATTCGAACAATTATTTTTCGACCCAGGTTCTTTATAAGAGGATCACCAACTTTGTTTTGTCCTGACTATGATATATTGCGTTTGAACCGTTAGATGAAACATTTCCTTTTTAAGTTTGAAAGGAGTCATGGAAATGTTATCTTAAATGGGAAAAAAAGGTAACACGCAAGGATGCTTCGGACAATTTCACATCATTATCAACTGGAAGATTTGCGAGTAAGGGTCAAAGTTACCGAAGCCGAGGGGGTCATAAATGCAACACACAAGGAGATACCTGGTTTAAAACTTTCTTCGAGAAATATCCACCAACATCAGCATTAAACTGAACTCTCAAACAAATCAACTTCTCCTTCGTCAATTTCTTCTAAAACGTCTTCGAATTGTTCTTTAATTTCCGATATCTTAATTTTCAGCGCATAAAAGGTAAGCTACTCAATCTACATGCGCGTACGCGTGCGTGCGCGGGTAAACCGTAGTTATTACGTCAACCATCATGTAACAAACAGCAAAACCGTTTATGTAACCGAATAAAGGGGTAAGTTTCTAAAGAAACTGTGGTGCTGCGTCGGTGGGAGAGTATAGCAGGTAATTTAGTGTTAACAACTGGGTTGAAAACGTAAATTAGCCACCGTAAAGGGTAAAAAAGCTGACGTTTCGAGCGTTAGCCCTTCGTCAGAGCTTCTGACGAAGGGCTAACGCTCGAAACGTCAGCTTTTTTACCCTTTACGGTGGCTAATTTACGTTTTCAACCCAGTTGTTAACACTAAATTACCGTTTATGTAACCATGGAGTTCCGTTATTCAGTTGCAGGATGGCTTCACTTAGTAACGGAGGAGGTTTACATGATGTGTGCTGTTTTCCGGACTGAACAGTGAAAAGCGCCTTGGGTGTTCTTCTTGGCAGCAGAGTACGTATTTATTTATTTGTTTTATTTGTTTTTCCGGCACAAAAAGTAAGGATAAGGCGCCCAACCTTATTAACGATTTATCGCCGATTGCGGCGTGTTCGTCCGCCAGCAAATATCGCAGGCGATCTTCGCCATTGAGATGCGAAAAAGCTTGGCGTTTTTTTTTCGCCGATCGCCGTAAAGTGGTACTTCAGCTTTATGCATACTTCGCGCGCACCGATGAAAACGGACAAAATGATGACAGGGAAGCAAAAACGTTTTCTTTTTGTAACTAAGGCGCTTCAGAAAGCGATCTGCCAAGTGGGCTTTTCAAAACACTAGACGATTTAATTTACTCCTTTCATCTGTCCAAAACCAGGTTCCGCTTCCATCAGCCATTTTGAAAAGTCGTACGATAAAGTCGCTTATTTTAATTGGTTGCTTTCACCAGCGATTAGCAGCGGTGAGAGAAGAAAATCGCGGGAACGAATGACAGCGAAAGGTAGTCGCCGATATCTGACTTGCCAGATGTCGGCGATTTTATACGCCAGTCGCCGCGACCAGTGTATAAAATCGCCTAACCCAAACCTTAACCCTAACCCTGGGCAAAAGTGTTTCTCCTTTCACAAAATCACTTCCATAAGAAGGCGAAGAGCTGTTTCTTATACTTGCAATATGTAGAAGAAGCGAGTTTTCATACCCGTTTGGATATGTCTTCTTGACGTCCTAAAGCAAAAACAAAGGTACAAGGAGCCTCTATAACCTCTCTTCTTCAAAAGCCATATGGTAAAAGTGGTTTATTCATAGTGATTTGAGTGAAACCAAGAAAAATATGCTGGTGATTTTCAGGCCATTTTCTCTATTGTGTGGCGCGCGCTCCGCCAATTCATTTTTAATTTTTAAGTCTTGACAAGTCCCGCTAAATGTGTCGCGGCATTCTACGCGATGATCGAAAAAAAAAAAAAACGGGGAATCATTTAGTTCGTCATGTTGACTGCTATCCTTATTCATAGCAGCCTATTAAACTATGAATAGCAAGTAATTAATTCAAATGCAATCTTGTGATACATTCATCAAAACTTAGAGGTACACACGCCGATATAAAAAAAACAACAACAACAACAACATCAAGAGAGCTTAAGTATCGCTTCAACCATCTTCCTTGACATACCTTTGGATATCCTCCAACATCGTGTACATCAAGGCCCATCAAATGTCCCAAACCATAAGGCATAAAAACAGCACCCACATGTAACCTCATCATCTCATTTATGTCCCCTTGTAAGAGCCCTATGTCTCTGAGGCCCTCCAGTTGAACACGGTTTGCTAAACGGTGCATATCAGCCCAGCTGACACCTAAACATTGAAAACAAATGTTTAGGCGACATGGCTGGTTTTCCATACAGGAACTGAAAGATGATGGGACAATCGTAAAGGGAACAAGTGCCACAAAACAGGGATCTGAATAACACGTGACAAAGCTTACATTCTTAGCGATGACCATTGATTATGCCAATTAAAAAACAACGGCGAGTAATTTTGCACAGCTACAAACATAGTTCTTACTCTACGACAGACAATGTTATTTACCAGGTTTTATTGCTATCATAACTGCTCGGTTTGCCCGCAGACAAATTTCATAAATCATTCTCTGATCGTCTGTAAACTTGCCATTGGCTGGAAATGAACACGTGATGTCTGAAGCATAGCAGTAATACTCACAACCCATGTCAAATAGACTACAGAAAAAAAGAAACGTTATGAAATTTTACATATTTCGAGCCTCAGATGCGCCAAGGAATCTCATAGGGACGGATTTAGGAACTAAGTGAATTGATAAATCTTGCAACAGATTCTCTTAGGCTTGTAACGCAAATTCTCTTGCCATTATTTTCTGCTGGCCGGAGAAATTGCGTAACAAGCTTAATGATAACAAGTCATGGTTCAGAGTTCCTCTATCAGTCAGGTGCCATCCTTCCTTAGCAATACGGTACGGCAAAAACGTTTTTGTACATTCTATTTTCATTTTTTCAGTTTGAAAAACACTTTGCTCACAAAAATTACTTTCACACATTGAACCATGAAAAAAACACTTCACATACTTCAATCACTAGTATGGCTTTTCTTCCTGCTCTTATGCGGACTCCGTGATAAAATTACTTATTTATTCAACAAAGTTGAGATTTAGTAAATAACACGAGTAAATTATCGCTTAATTTTTTGGGGGGAAATGCGGGAAAATGACGGAAACAAGATTCCGTTATAAAATTCATTCATATGGTAGTTAGTGATCATGAGCTATAGTAAATTTTCTCGGAAGTAAAGAGATTCAGATTGCCTAACTTACCACATGTCTCCATCCCGTATAACTTTACTATCCACTTCAACTGTATGAGAAGGACAAGCACAGTCGACACCACTAAGAAATATATATAAAAAAAGGACAACTATCTACAAATAATTTACGTACTAGTAAAAAAAAAAAAAAACGCTCTAGAAACGGGCTTCTAAGAGGGCTGGATCAGTGCTGTCACTTATGTATCAGTTATTCGACTGTACCTTGCCATTAAGCAGTTGTAGGCTAAGTGGCGGCATCCCCCGTGATAAAAACAATAGTGCTGGAACAGACTGTGAGAAATTAATAGAAGGATCACCGTAAATTTGACACTGAAACAAAATCAATCATATCACATATACCAACCATTAACCTATTTTACTGATTCACTTTTATCCACTACTGAGTTTAGAATCAGCAAGATTGTGATAACATCTTTAAACACATACCTTTCTAATTGATATGTGGACATCCCTGGTCTGATACGTTTCATCACCTATGGATGAAAGGCAATTAGAGTACTTGGTTGGTTAAAGCTTACAATCAGGGTTAGGGTCAATAAGCTCTTCACTTAAACTAAATGATCAAAATACTCCCCAAACTTACATCTCAACCTCTTAAATCTTATTCTGATTCTGAGTATGAACATTCAGACAGAAATTGTAAAACACAGAATAGCTTTGGGTTTTAAAACATTATTTTGTGATAACCCAGTAGTGATGCACTCACCTCCTTGTGTGCTTTACTGCTGATTTTGTTAGCATAACGAATCACTTCCAGTTCCTGAGCTGTTTTGAATACACGACTAAGAAAATATACAGATATATAAATATGAACCTCACCTGGAGAATGATTTTATGTTATTGGGAGGGAATTTATCACAAACCAATTTTCTTACTTAAAAACAGCAACACCAATTAATTTGAGTTACAAAATTTTTGGAGGTATTTGTAAAGATCTTGTTAGCTTACACAATAGCCACTCCCCCCAGTTATTATCCAGAGGTATCAAAAGTAGACAGTCAACAAAACAGAGGAACATCACCTCACCATTCAGAAATCTCTGGATGTAAAATAGTATTGTCTACATGGAACCTAGCAGGAAAAATATTAATGTTGTGTAGTTAAGTTACTTTATAACTTCCGTGGCTGATGTGAACTGGAGATAAGAAAAGAAAATGATGCCCTATACCAAGTGCTTCAGGCTTAAACAATTCTTTTTCAAATTCATTACCAGTACATTAACCCTTTAATTACTGATGGTGACTGGTATCAAATTTCTTCTTACAATATCACCTATGAATCAAACACTTTAGTCACAAGATTAAGGAAATGATCACCAACTGAAAAAGCTCTTGATTGTTAAACAATTCTTTTTTTCAGCACCTTAAGAAATGTATAAAGAACAGTATGGACAATAGGATGTAAAGGGTCAACCATTGATAGTATTTGGTATTAGGAGGAAATTGTGAACCTCACAAAATCTCTATAACTAAAAGTTGATTAGAAAGTAGACCTTTGAGAGGTAAATTATGAAATTTGAATTCCAACATTAATACCATAACATTATTGTCTTACATTACAATAAAGTATCCAACACCTGATTGAATTCCAAAACTAATTACTTGTTAATGTTTTCAAATGTAGCTTCATTGCAAATGTGCCTTGAATCTGTGTTTACACCTTTCTAAAAAGCAAATATTAAAATGATTAATTTACTGTAGGTGCTCAAAATGAAGGATGTGCTGATCAGGCTTGGTCAAATAAAAGTTTAAGAAACTTTCTGAATTCTCCTACACATGACACCTTAGTGGGAGCATAATAAGTGTAACCTTAATGCAAATAAAATAAGTATGTTAATGTATGTGATGTTAACCTTAAATTAAGGATGTATGTCATATAACCTTATATGGGCAAATTAGAATAAAATTTGATCCAATCTGATCCTCAACATGGCTCTTGTGTTTGGTGCTGTCACACATTTAATAAAATAAAAAACATTTTGGGTTCCTTGGTGCTCCACCCAGCTCCAATGTTACTTACTAATGTGAGAATAACAGAGGGATTTTTCTTTTGCAACACATCAGCAATCTGAGTAACAAAGAAAAATTGAGGAGATATTTCATTCATTTGATGAATTCTGAAGTAAAGTAGGCTTTCATAAATAACCTTTGAGAATTGTACTGTAGTTTGCAGTGATCCAAGTAAGTTTTAGGCAATTTTACTCACTACAAAGTGATCCAGGTAAGTCCTAGTTGATTTTACCCAGTTGAGCAGTCCAAGTTAATCTGGTCCAACTTTTGTACCTGCCTAGCTAATGAAAATGTATGACTTATGTTCAGAGTACTGGGAGGGATTACATTAGGCTATTTACAGACCTGGTTGGTGTAGTAGACTTCTTCTACTTCATAACGTTTCCTAAAGTGCTCTAAACTGTTCCTCCTACAAATTAAGTTTTTGAGAAATATCATACAGTCATGACATGTGTTACAAATGCAGAGCATGGGTTCAACAGAAACATTCCTCTGTATCATTATTGCTTAAGTAGGTATGCATTTTGATGAAGGGTTGGTTTGATGTAACTTTTAACCAAAATTAAGTGTTTTTGTGAATTCTTCCCTAGTCATCCCAGATAATTGTGGATGATCATAAATTGAAAATTAAGCAAATTTTGACTTACACCCCAATCCATTTATGATACCCTGGAGGAGGTTTGGGAAAAAACAAAATAGCACAGGTGCTTTCAACCTCAACTGCACCAAGACAACCTGCTTCTAGTACACCAAATGTCCAGTGGAAAAATGACTCCTAAAGTGAGAGAAACAAATGACATTAACTTCATTTCAAACATCAGCTTGGTCTTCTTAATCTTCTCCATGTGACCACCTTATGTAGATGGCCAGCTAGACTTCACCCTTTAACTCCCAGAAGTGATAAGCATGTAACTTCTCCCTATCATATCTATACAACATCCAGCAAACAGGTAATGAGAATACTCAAACATATCAGGTAGAAGTTGTTGTCTTGATCTAACACCAAATTCTCAAAACTAATTCTTAAGGAAATGGGTAACAACTAGAGGGGAGAATTAACACTTAGTCTGGCAGCACACCAGAAGTTTGAAAAGAACAAGTTAACAACACTCTCCTAAATACCAAACACTGGATTGTAAATAAACCAACCCCCACCATCATTACATAAGTAATTAGTGCTGGAATTATGTGTGCTGTTGGTAACCACAGCCAATAAATCAGCTGATACATGCATTAATGGTCTATTCATACATCATTCAGTAGTTGATACATAGCCTATCATAGCTGATTGAAAGTTGGTCAAAAGTAGCATGGTAGTGAAGTGATATGTACAGTCAAGGTGTTAGCAAATGTCTCTTCTAGACAGGAGGCACACATATTGACTGAGACATCCCCCCACAAAGTTTCAAGTGTTGTTCAGCTACCAGGTGACTATCTAGCGATGTATCAACTGAACAACCAATGCTGCATATCACACACATGATCCAAATACTGTATTCCTTTAACAATATTAAGGAGAGAAAATTGCAAAATCTCACTGTAAAGATGTTTAAGCAAGTAAGATGTAAATCAAACCTGTCGAAATACAGCATCTACATCTGTGCAATATCTTTGATGCTGCTCCCCTCCTTGAAGTAATATCATTGCTCCTTTTGGAACAGCTTTGTTATCGGTAAGTCGCTCACAAAGTCGTCTTCGGTTGATAGTGTGAAGGCTCAAGGGAACAGCCAGGGAGCTGTTCCCAAACTGATAAAATGACCTTAAAATTTTCAAATTGATAATACAATCATGTATATATAACTATTGGCTGATTACCTTTTTAAGAGACAAATTCCATACTGCTATGAGCCTGTTCATAATAGATCACAAATGACATCAAATTGTGGTCAAAACGAAAAAAGGCACATTTTGACATCTTTGATCTATTGCTGAACAGACGCGTGAAAATTTGGAACCTACTCGTTTTATATAAATAAAGAAGAAAAGTTGGCAATAATAGCCATTAAGTTGATGATAAAAACTGTTAGGTAATACAGTAACTGCAATTTCCATTTCACAAAGATCAGAAGATACCATCAATTTGCTCTTACAAACTAGAGTCTGAAGTGTTCTACTTTAGAGGGTAAATTTTTCAATACAAATTCTTAAATCAATATGTTACAAGTTGTGGATGCCTAAGGCTATTTCTAAACAATACCCCCATAATTTGTATGAATTCGTTAATGGTTCAATGTTAAAAATAATTTGATTGCCTAATATTATAGAACTATTACCTATCGTATTATATTGTAATATTTTGACGTCGACTGAGATGCTCCACATTGAAATTGAGAGAAAGAAACTCACGAATTCAAATGATGCTCCCAGTCATGAACACATCATTAAGGCCATACGGAAATATCTGCATAACAGAAAAGCAAGTTTAAATATGTTGTATAACTTACTTTGTCTCGACTGTTGCCATAATTACAAGCTGCGATAGCTGCTACCGGATGTCTACACGGAACCAAGATGGAGGTCCGCGATGGTTAGGTCACGATGTCACGCAAATGATCGAGGTCACACTAGGCAGTAAGTTGTCGGAACCTCCGATCGACTGTGTCATCTGGTCAGATGACTTCCAGCATGTTTGGTGAAAGCGTGGTGGAAAAATAACCCAAGTGTGACCTCAATCTAAATAAAAAGTCCCGTATTTTCATAGAAAGCAGTAGGAGTGCCCTCAAATTAACGCGGACTTTATTAAACATGCCGACGTGATATGTTTATTGACTATCAATGAAAACCTAAGGGTAATAATATCAACACTTTACCATGTCGCTCTATCCATGAAAATCTATTCTCAGTGGCTAACTCCTCTGTCAGATAATCTTTTAGAGTCTAAATGTAGGGAGTGTCCTCTTCCCAAAGCATTTCAAGCTCAAGTACTTTCTAAGTTTGGAGAGACATGAAAGACCCGGAAGTCTATGGTCCCTTTAATGTTTGCAAACGTTGCCCCAGAATTGCTACTAATTTGAGACGATGAGAGTTTCTAGAAACTTTGAAAACCCCCTTGACTATCAATTTGCAATTTTACAGCGGGACAATTCTAAAGTGATAAAAATCACTGCATGATCAAAAATTTGTGAATTAATTTAATACTTAGACGGAAGACAACAGAAAACTCCAAGAAGAATATTTACTCGTCCTATTTTTTTTTTTTCGATGGGGGAAGGGGTAGGAGAGAGTAATCTTTGGAGGAAACGGTGGATCTAGAGCAGTTGCATATCGACCATTAAGATCCATCAAATATTTTGGCTCGCGCACGATTGATCTAGACGCATTACGTGACCGAATATCCCCCGGGATATCTAAAGATATTACCCAAGTAATATTCCCCAATTTTCGAACCTTACGTCCGCTATGATAAGTCTTCGCCTAAATCTAATTCAAGAAAAGAGAACGTTTAATGTTTGTTTCAGAAGAAGGAAAATATCTGTTCGTTCATAAAAATTTTTACCAAGGAACACGCAAAAGAAAAAGCAGCAAATGAAGACCATTGGTTACAGCTTAAAGAAGACGCAGTACCAAGACAAATGGAGTTAAGCACACTTAATTTGATTTTACTAGTTAAGTTGATAATGTGAATTGCCCACCGTAGAGCAATTCTAAAGCTCTTCGAGCTAGGTAAGGAAAAAGGAAAGAAAATCAGTGTTTATTATGACACCCAGGCATTAAAGGAGTCGGTTATAAGCTTTTAAAATCATATGTTATTTAATTTCAAAGTATTTCTAATTTATTCTGGCGAATTTTCTTAATTAAAAAATTTTGTCAAATTTTCTTTCATGAAGACTTTCGAGGAATGCATAAAGTTATTGAATTGATGTAGGTATCTATTCCTTACTTTAGTAAACTTTCTATAGTTAATTTTCGATTTAACCAGCTAAACCAATTTTCAAACTTTTAGCTTGCACAGAATTGCATCTGTTGAGCTTAATATCTCTGGGTTACTTATTCGTTTGGTCATGAACAATGCTTGATCATTAACTTCTAAAATTGCGATTCTCCTTACTTTCTGCCATACACTTTTTACCATTTTAGCTAGGAGAATTTGGTATCTAATCGAACTATGTTGCCAGGTTAATTTTTTCTTCCTTGTCCCATCTTTCTGTATGATACCGTGTAGATGATTCTTTGATTTTGCAAGGAGAAATTTAACCCCTGAGAGGTTAAGAATTAACTTCTGTCAAATAAATGTAGTGTCTCTATTTCTCACATAATGATATCACTCACGACAGAAAAATGATTGATAAAACTGAAGGAATCGTCACAAACAGTTTTCACACAAAAGAGCATTAACATTTTAGCTTGTATGGATCACTTTGGTGGTAAAGTTCAAGTCATGCTTGATATTGCTTATGATTCGGTAGTTACACATTTGTGCAAAGAGATCTAATCGAACTTAATTTGCTACTTGGGATGAAACTGAAGGGGAGAAATGGGGCGGGAGACTGGCTCCCTCTGCCATCAAAGCCTCGATTTCTTGCACAGTACGTGGAACACACGTCATCAGCTCCATTCCATCTGACGTCACCACAATACCATCTTCAATTCGAACCTGGACAAAATCAAAACGGTATGTTAGGTTTTTAAATCGAAAGAGCTAATTTAAATCTCAAGATTTTACCTGGTACTTCTTTGTGGAAATCTTACCATCTTTAGCATTTGGGGAAGATTCATTGGTGACAAACATTTTTGGGACGAAAACAACACTAATTTGAAGTCAGGTAAAAATTCTCACCCCTCCAGAATTCCTGAATCGCTGTAGCATTTCTTGATTGAAGAATCGCGCCGTCTCAGGGTTTTCCAAAGCAGGATTCAAAGTCTGAAAATAGAACAAATCTCCATTTCACTGGTAACTATCTTATTCCTTTCAAAAAATATTTGCAAGTAAAAAGGCCTCCGAGGTAATTACCAAGCAGTCGTTACTTACAGCATCAATAAAATAAAGTCCTGGCTCAATGGTCAGTACCATTCCCTCTTCTAATACACGAGTGGTTCGGAGCGAGCGGAGGCCTGGTTCTTTTAACCGTTCAGTACCCTGCAAATTTCAAATGGTAATGAACGGACTAGTCTCAAATTGTGTAAGATTTAAAGAAATTGGAGTTGACAAGACTCTGGCAGAGTACTAGGTCAGAACTTTCTTTGTTATAGTGCTAGGCGAAGAAATGAAATGAGTTTAACTGAAAGAAAAAAAACTACTAGAGCTTCAGGAAAAAGAAAAAACAGAGATGAGATAGAGATAGGGGAGAGGTGACAACAAAGGAGACACATACATCAAATTCACAGAAACAACACCCTTCCTGGTTAAGTAGAATATTGAAAAAAAATCCTAGTGATATGCAGGAACCTATCATATGGCGAAGCATCGGTCACATTGGGAAATTTTTCTTCCTTTGAATCAGTTTGCTGTAACTGAATTCACTATGTTAATGGTAAGATTTTTACCTCTGGGTATCCTCCAACATCGTGCACATCCAGTCCCATTAAATGTCCCAGACCATGAGGCATAAAAACAGCCCCAAGATGAACCTTCATCATTTCATCCAGGTCTCCCTTCAGGAGCCCCATGTCTCTAAGACACTGTAGCTGGACACGCTCTGCCAAACGGTGCATATCAGGCCACTTTACACCTGTTGAGGGTAACGACCTATTTTTGAAAAATGCAATGCTATAATGGCATAACACTCTTAACAGGCCACATACTTACAACGACCAATTTTCCCCGGAAGAACAGACTAAAATGTGCATGTTACAATGTCAGCAATACCAAAAGAAAATTCTGAACAGAAAAATAAATCACTGTTTTCACTCGCTTTGCGTTGTTACCAGCCCTCCTTGTTTGGTTTATTCAGTTTTGTTGATACATTTAATTGATTAAAACAAAACAAAACACAAAAAAAAACAGGTGTCGCTAAATTTTTTTTTTCCACTATATATCGCGATTATTTCTCTGAATATATGACAAAGCGTCAGAACCTGGAGCTTAGATAACTACAAAAAGGCACTTATAACAGCACTTACCAGGTTTAACGGCTGCCATGACTGCACGACTGGCTTTGTAAACGGCTTCATAAATATTACGCTGATCATCTGTGAACTTGCCATTGGCTGGAAAAGAACAAGTGATGTCTGACGTATAGCAATAGTATTCTCCTCCCATGTCAAACAAGCTGTAAAGTGGAGCAAAGGAAAATAAACAACAACGGCTACAAAATAACATTAGTAAAACAGCCATTACAGAGATCAATTTGAATAAATTGATTAACAACATGGCCAAAAGTCTATTTACGAGCATCGCACTGAACTATCTTATACAAAACCAGAGTTGGTGCTGTCAGTTGATGGGCTATTACTTGGTGTAGAAGATACAGTATACGTCACAATAGAATTTCATTACAACCGGGAATGAGAAAACAATGAAAACAACAGTGTGACGTATTCTGTGTCTTCTACACCATGTAAAAGCAAGTTGATGGTGAAGGCTTTAAAGGACTTTTCAACCAACACAGCACCTGAGCAATTATCCTTGAAAGACTCTTGCCTCAATAGCATTATCACACCCAAACAGAACTCTTTATTTGCTTTCTTTATTCTCAAACCGTTTTAGCTTGACTTCTCAATAAATGAATTATTCATTTGTTAGAATTATGTTCAACTCACCACAGATCTCCATCATGGATCTTCTTGTCATTTGGTGCTCCTGCATGGCCATAATGGAGAGTAGCACAGTTATGACCACTGAAAGAGAATTATTAACATGATAAACCACTGAAGTTTTACTCTGCAAGGGGAAGGCTGAGATATTCCAAAATCTCCTCTGTTTATATTCATAGGAAATAATATTGTCAGTATTCAAAATTGCCCTGAATTTGAGACTCTTCATGAGGTTGCAGTAGAAATGTTAATTCTATGGACCTTGTCACCATTTGTTGATTAAAAACATATTTTTTCTAGGTTGAATGACTGAAATGTTACCTTGCTCCAATACATGTGTAGGACATATGACGACATCCACCCTGAGAATAGCAGAAGTGCTGGAACAAGCTGCAATGTACAATTGACTTCAATCATCAGCTGACTCCATGATTTTTGATAAAATTTGAGTCAATGCTTCAACATTGTGGGTTAATTTACAGTTATGGTATTAACCCTATTGGCTAAGAATCTCATTCTTGCACAAAATTCCATGCTACTTTTCTATATATGAATGAGAAAGTAACTGAAAATTCAATTTACCTTTCCATTTCAAATTCTGCCATCCCAGGTCTGACACGTTTCATCACCTAAGATAAACAACAATCATCATGGTCACACTTTCAATAAGATCTAGTCACAGTTATTAGAAAGCATGTTTTGGCTCAGACGTTAAGTCTACAGAATGTTAAACTTTGCAAAGCCAGCTGATGATATAAAATGTTAGTTTACCTCTTTATGTGCCTCACTGCTGACCCTGTTAACATAGCGCATCACTTCTAATTCCTGAGGTGTCTTGAAAACTCGACTAGACCCAAAAACAAACAGGTAAATAGAAAGAAAAAACAAGGAAACTTTGATGTATTCTGTAAAGCTTGCTTGTTTACAAAAATTGTATTTTGCATAATAAAGATAGAAAGCCTAACACAAGCAAAATATGTACTTAACTCTTAACAACACTTACCATTCAGCAATCTCTGGATGCAAAATCTTGCTATCCACATTAAACCTGGAGAGGAATTGATACAAAAAACACTCAGGGCACACCTTACTGGGGGTATCTAACAACATATATAGAACTTTGAGATCCATAGGTGCAAGTTGACTGGTTTTGGCATAAAGCTTAGAGCTAAGGCATGTACAAGGATGTACTGTTTATAACACAGGGAACTATATCTGGCTACTGAATCGCGGGGGTAAGTTTCTAAAGAAACTGTGGACCTGCTTTGGTGAGGGAATATATAACAAGATTATTTAGTTTACAAACTGAGTTGAAATGTAAATTAGCCACTGTAAAGAGTTTCAAAGCTGACATGTTGAACAGTAGCCCTTCATCAGAGCCAAGGGCTTTGAGAGGGATTTGAAAGGGGTTTGAAATTTCACTCTGATTAAGGGCCAGTGCTAGAAATGTCAGCTTCAAAACTCTTTATGGTGGCTAATTTACATTATCAACTCAGTTGATAAACCAAATTACCTTGATATATCTAGCTAGACCTGACCACAAAATAACATAATAACAGCATCAAACCAACTTGCTAATGCCATCAAATGCTGCTTCTCTGCAATGATGACCTGAATCAGAGTTGAGTCCTCGCTGCAAAGAACAGACAAATCAATTTATCACCTGAGGTCAGATGTATCTGAAAAGTAAAGAGTAAAATACTTGGGTACAACTACAAATTGATGCGATGAAGATTGCTCTTTGTTTGCAGAACGTCCTTTAAAAATCAGTTTTTACATGCATAAGCACTAACAAAATTAGAATAATACCAATGTAAGCCAAGTTATGTTAAGTTTTAGTATTGTAAATTCATTGAAATCTTTCTATAGAATTAAGCTGCAGGGCTAGGGGCTTAACTCCTGTTGAATGGCAACTACTTACAAGAGTCAAGAGAACAGATGGAGACTTCTTCTGTAGTACTTCAGCTATCTAAGTAAGAATCAGTAAATCATAAGTCAGACTGTATTGTTGTGAATTTATTCTACTCCATATTTATCTTATACAAGAATAGAAGAAGAACAGCATCAGAAGTCATGATTATAATAACAACAACAACAACAACAACAAAAACATCATAAAACAATAATGATAATGCTAATAATAATCATAATTATCATCATCATCTCAAGCTAATATTTAGAATGCATAAATTACCTCATCTGTAAAAAAGACCTCACCCACTTCATACTTTTTCTGAAAATGCTCCTGGCTGTGGATCCTGAAAAACAAAAAGCACAAAACATTTCTTTCATGGACTACTGCCAATTTCAAAGGACAGTCAATAGGCCATTATAAGCCACTTTTAATATTTATTTAATAACAATCATCTGTCACAGAAAACTATCTATGCACAATACAACCATTCAGTTAGAGTCAATCAGGACAACTGGGCACTTCTGCACAGAGCTGTACAGAAGTAAATGGGTAAAGCAGCCAACACTACAAACAGTCATTCTAAGATGCTCACTTTCCCATCCATATAGCATATTCTGGAGGCAGACGTGGAACAAACAAGATTGCACATGCTGTATCCACCTCTACAGCACCAAAACAATCAGCTTCTAGAACACCAAAGGTCCAATGAAAATATGATTCCTGAAAATAGGAATTAACATGATCTGTAATATTGAGAGTCAAATATCAAATAATAAATTCCACAAATTTTTAGAAAAACAAAATAGCCCTCACTGAGAAATGTGATTGCCCAAGCAATTGTTCATGCACATATACTCATAAAAAGCTCTGTTAACCATGACAGTGATTGATGTGTGGAGTTGTTTGTTATTCAATAACAGACAACTCCTCACATTTTTTTTGTCTAAAAAATGATTGCATTTTGTTCAGTTTGAAAGTAATTTGTGTTGTTAGGACCAGTAAATAGTTTGGTTCCGAAAGAAGTGATCCTCAGCAATGTGATAGTTGATATCCTCTTTTTTGTGTTCCTAGATGTGTGTTCAGTCAGCCTTGTTATGAAGTTCTTGCCAGTTTCTGAAATGCAAGTGGCCATGTTGGACAGCCCTGTTGAAAATTTTTATAAGTAGAAAACAACTGAACGAATAATCAAATTCAGAGTAATTCTCCCCTGAAGTAGGCTTGGTTTTAAGTAAGGTCCTTGCAAGTGTAGTTTACCTGCCGAAAAACAACATCGGTATCAGTGCAGTATCGTTGACTTTGTTCTCCTCCCTGTAGCAAAACTATTGCTCCTGATGGTACACCTTCAATTTTTTTTAGACGCTCACATAACCGCTTCCTATTGGTTGCATGTAGACTAACTGGAATAGAGAGAGTGTGTGCTGCAAGCTGAAAGCAGGACCTAACAAACAAAGGAATGCTTATGATTATGTTTTAAATTTCATATTAGCCGATGAAAAGTAAGTTGCCTGGAAATCAAAATATAAAATTAAGACATTCTTGTTTTAATTAAATTAATCTTCCCACCCCTCTAAAAGCAGATGACTGAAAATTTGGCAATCCTTTTTTAGCCAAACTACTCATTCCTGGTACAATTATCATATTGTTATCATTACTGGATGATCTCTAACATAAGGAAGAAATCAATAAAAGATCATTTTAGTTTTTCAGAAAAATTGAAATTAAAATATAATGTTAAAAGGAAAATTGATATTAAAACAACTGTACTATTCTATTTTATAGTGTGGTGGTTCAATTGCAATATTTAGACTTTGCAAGTGAAAAATTACAAGCATGTATAAAGGAAGTTCTCTGTAAATTACCGAAAGGAAGAGAAAAGAAAAGAATTGAGGGCCTAACTCTCCCTGTTATAGCATCTCAGAGAAGAATTTCACCACTCTGACAAAGACCTAAAGGAAGAATGCTCCTTTCTGTGCTTTGTCACCATTCTATGAATGCTGAACATCCATCATAACAGTTTTTCAACAAAATAATGAAAAGCTGCCTTAACAAACTTTCACACCTAATTTCAAAGAACTTTGAAGTCAAGGAGCACATCAATGACTAGTCTTCATGCTGCCTTTCTTTCTTTAAGAAACTCATGGTCTGTTGGAGAATAAAGTTTTCTTTACCTCAAAAGGTCTCACTTATAGAAATCCACATAAGCTTTGAGAAGGTGTACTGGAAAATGGAGCCATTATTGAAAGATTCAGATGAAAAGAACTGGTTAGTGCAACTTTATGCTTGATCACTTTAAATTACATTGAGCGCAAAAACTCTAATCCACCCAGAGCTCTCGTCAAAGCTCTGAATTCCTTAAAGACACGCAATGACATTGCTATCACCAAGCCAGACAAAAGCCTGGAAGTTGTTGTGATGGACAGATTTGAATATATTTGCCTTCTGGGTGATGCATCAGTTGACAACACTACAAAGTTCATTCTGGTCAATGACAAGCCACCCAAGAGCCGTGGATGACTGCCTAGGTATTTCTCCCTCCTTCAAAAAGAGGAGATTTGCACATTGTTACATGAAATACTGCCTAATGAAATCACAGAGAAACTCTCTCCTTACAGTTCCAACTCACACACTTACAGAGCCTATGCTACAGGGACTTACAATCACAAACTTGCCAAGTGGCTTGAGAAATAGCTGAAACAACTCTCCTTGAATGAATATCCCATCAGCGATACCTTTGATTTCACCAATGAGCTTCGCAATCTGTCTGATGACATTCTGGTCTTTTATGACATTGCTTCTTTCTTCATCAATGTACAATTGGAGAAAACTATGAACATCCAAGCCAACAAAGCCTTCACAGATGATTGGTTCAACAAAGACTACAGCCTCAAAATTCAAAAGAATCAGCTCATCAGACTCTTGAGCTTGCCACAACAAACCAACTCCTCCAATTTGATGGACTGTTATTTGAACAAACTGATAGAGTAGCCATGGGTTCTCCTCTTGGCCACTTAATGGCAAATGTCTTTATGTGTCATCTCGAAGAACAGTCAGTGCAAAATGGCTTAATGCCTTAGTTGTGCAAAGGATATGCTGATGATACCCTGCCTAACACCGATACAGCTAACTAATTTCTTGGTAGGTTGAATGACCTATATCCTAGTCTATCATTTACTATTGAGCTTCCTGTAAATGGTGTGATCCCTTTTGTTAGGTTTGAAATTGTAGAAAACAGCACCAAACTGGAAACCAAAGTCTTAAGAAAGGCAACAAACACAAGGTTACAAATACATTTTCAAAGCCCTACAAATAGACAGTACAACAACTCTCTTCTAGAGACAATGTTAAATAGCACAACTGTAACTTGCTATCCTCCACAATTGATACTTTTAGTGAAGAATATGACAAATTAAGATTTATTTTTGAGTTTTCTTTTTTTACAAAAAAAATAACTCTCTGTTAGCGTGCAGAGTGGTATGCTCCTTGCACTGATCAGATCGCCACATTTGCATATGTAACTCACACCAATCAGATTGCTGCATAAGGGTATGTATCTTGCACCAATCAGATTGCTGCATTAGGGTATGTATTTCACACCAGTCATATCACAGCATTTGGATATCTTGCACCAATCACAGCATTTGGGAATTGTTTTCTTGTGAATGATATCATGGAATTAGGGGACTGTGCACAAAGAATGACATAAAGAATGAGTTTTGGGCTCATTTGAGAAGTGTAATGGTTTGTGGCCTTGGTGAAAGCCTCATCAATTAAGGTTTAGATTTAGCAGGATATGAAAGGTTCACATCATTTGTATTATTGTTGAGTTAAAATGTTTCTTTTTAATTGCTAATTATCTCACCTTCTTAAATTATATTTTTATTGTAATCTGTAGTTATTAAGCTTTCTTCTGATATATAGTTGGCTAAGATTTTAGTGAAACTAGCACATGTATGAATTTTTTCCCAAATGTTTTCCTGAAGGACAACTGCAAAAGTGGGAAGTAACCTTAAACCCTAGGGTATCTGGTGATTTCGCCAACGAGTGATTTCGCCAATGTCACATTCGCCAACGTCTTTGGTCGCTTGGCCAACGCGATGAGTCGCTTGGCCAACGTCCTACTGGTCACTTCGCCAATTTATTAGTTTACTCTAAATAAAAATTTACCATTACTTCTTCTTGCTTCTGTGTGTTTTTTACTTGACTGAGCTGACTTGATTTCCCCGTTTGAACTTAGTTTCCTTCTGTTATTTTGTTCGGACTTAGTTTCCTTCTCTTGTACGCGCAACTTAAAATACAGTGGGCCCACATAAATGCACGGCACGCCACGCATCACCGGCACTGTATGTTGCTGAATTTAACTTAGAGCAATAAAGTCGCGTGTGTGCAACCTTTTCCTTAAGTTCTTCTATAAGGTTTATTTGTCGATAACAGAGATTTATATAATTACCTTTGAGACTTCTAGAACAGAGATTTATATAAATACATTGTAGACTACTACTACTACTACTAATTCTATAACTCCAGCGCATAAAAAGTGAAGTGACCAGTAGGACGTTGGCGAAGTGACCAGTAGGACGTTGGCCAAGCGACTCATCGCGTTGGCGAAGCGAACAAAGACGTTGGCGAACGTGACGTTCGCGAAATCACTCGTTGGCGATATCACCGCAATTCAACCCTGGATTACCTGATATTACTATTCTTGATATGATTTTTGTATACATTTTTATTTCTAGGTATTTTCATTTTATTGTATATAGTCTAATTTAGTACTTTTAATCTAAGTTAAGACCTTTTCTGAAAACCCTAGTGATGTGATGAAAGTTTCCTGATAAAAGGTTATGATAACTTTCGCCATCGTTTTCTTTATCAAATACTTGTATACGTAATGAACAATTGGACTGTGCACAAATCGTGCCGAAAATGTCTCTTGTGTAAGCTCTGAATACGATTACAGAAAACTGAAGCACAATCAACGTACATATACTGTTATTTGCGAAGGATCTGCGAGATCGTGAACAAGCTAGGTCACAAAAGGCTCAGGAGCGACTATTTGCAGATCGCGCGCCACGAGATTTCCATAAGCAGTTATCTCATTGCCTTTATGAGATTACGATAAATAAATAGTACAATAAGTAAAATATAAGCAAGAAGTACTTACGGAACAATAGCAGCAGTCATGTTCGAAAGCTCTGTTAGCTAACAGCTAGAGGAAATCTTAGCAAGAAGATTCCTAGTTTCAATCGCTCCAACGGTGGATTCGGAAGTGTCCGTGAATAATCGTAAACCATCGGGAATTATCGGTCTCGTGCGGGCGAGCTTTTGACGATTCTCCCCAGTACTCCTCGCTCTTATCACCCAGGCTCCATTTATAACGGGGAAAAATTATCTTGTAGTTGAGTTGGAGGAATTGGGAGTTTTTGTTTTGAATATTTTACTATGGCAGACGATATCGATGATTTATTAGACGAATGTGAGACGAAGTTTTTCGACAGTGGAAAAAAACCTAAGCAGGAAACCACCACCAAATTGAACTCCAGCTTGAGCTCAGAAACGGGAAAGACATCAAGGTACAAGGACAGAAAACCGAAAAGGTAGAAACGTTTTTACCCTCCCTCCCCAGTATAACATACTTATTTTCACTCTTTTATTTTGAATAAATTGGCGTGAATGACTCAATCACTTTGTTTCTTAGTTCACATATTAAAAATGCTGATCGAGATGAACTACATGATATGATCCAAGAATGTATGGATGATGGACCAGAAATACCTGAACTGAGACAACAGGTAAAACTAACCAGTAAACTATCTAATTTTCTTAGATTTCCAGAAACTAATCAAAAGACTAATCCCTTGATGGAGTTTCCCGCATAGATCGTGGTATTTTAAGCATTCATTTAATAAGTGCGAACGAAAATTCGGTTCCCCTGCCAACGGGTGTGCATAGGTCACGTGAATGAAAACCAATCGGATTATGATTTTTGTTAAGCCGGTTGGCTGTTTATCGAAGTAAGAAGAATATTGAGATTAGCTTTTCAAAGTTAATTTCGTACGATTTCTCCTTGTAAACTAATCTGATGATGATCCATATTGTCATCATTCTTACCATTATTGTTGCCTGACTTCCTCCAGTCCAAGCCTTCTTTAATGACTATTGTTACTAAAGAAAAGACTGGAGTAGTTGCAATGACCAATGATGAAAACTTCAACTATTATAAAGAATCAAGGAGAATTTGAATCTGGAAAAGTTGATTGAGAAAGTTAAGCACCTGATTGATTGATAAAGTTTCTTAACCATTAACAGCAAAGCCCTTGCAATCTAAAATTACTTTTGTCACTCAGTTATAAACTGCTCCATGGGCTTCTCCAGCAGGATGTTGGTTATCATTCATTGAGCATATGTTAAAAGAGAGAGAGATAGAGATCAGAGTAGCTATTGTTTATGTTTTATACTATACAACTAATACTCACATGTTGCAATCAGTATGACTATTATGGGCTATGAGCAGATTATTAAACAAAGATATGAGCTATTGGATCAAGGAGTCTGTTTGAAAAATCTTCAAAAGATTGTTTCTTGTCTAACTTTTATGGGGACTGCTTTGAATTCTAAGCTTACTTACCATCAATGGTCTCCTGTCTCAACTTCATAAGTCAAGGGAAAGAATGACTGCACCAAATTAATTATAAATTTATTTATACATCCTTATTTTTATTAATTTCTATTACAGCCAGCAAAATCTTTGTCCAACTCAAACACAACAGATTTAAGTTCAGCACGAAAGCGTTGTGTCAAAGTTTTTCTAGGCGGTTCTAAATTTGCAAAAGGGCTTTGCAATGGGTCAGAAGAGCGGTAAGTGTGTTATTGAATATAAGATATTTTTCATCACTAATTAGTATTCTGCAACAAAAACTCCTCAGTGCCATAATTTTTACAAGAGCTTTGCAACCCTTCAAGTTGCCTTTACCCTTTAACCTTCAAGATTTAAATCTCAACTTTTTGGCAAAGTCCTTGTACATCTTACAATTTCATCATTGATATTTTGGTGTTAAATGAAACAGTGTCCCTAAGCTTTAATAACCTTTCCTCATTTCACCTCTCTGCTAATAAAATATTGAAATTGGAAGGTGAAATTCCTTCTTGATCACTACTGGGCTAGGGAGGTTTATTGAAAGTTTAAAATAGGAAGAGGAAATTTCCTAAACCTAATTCTAACCACTGCCTGTCCCTTGCACTTCAAAAAGAATTTTTGTTCTAGAGTTTAAAATTATTACAATGAAATGTAAACAGTGTTCTATCTGAAAACCATAACTCAACAGAAAAATCAAACCTAATTATTGCTTCTTGATTCTTACAGCCAATAATATTGATGCAAAGTTGATTAAAAATTTTCAGCAAGCTGAATTGCAGTGAATATTATTAATCTCTACTAATATTAATCTAGATATCGATAACTGTGAGGCCTGGACTGGGTACAGGCAAGGTGCATATTAGTGTTTTCACTTTCCTTATGATTAGGCAATTTGTTTGGCATACAAGTCATAAGACTCGGCTAGAATCAATGGCCGTTCACCACACTAACCCATTTTAATTGGGAAATTACTTATAATAAGTATATTACCACTTAGTTGTCTGTGCACAAGTTATTAGTGATCTAGCAAGCAAGCAAGTTTTAGTGTCCCTCCCACCCACACCATCAACAGTTTTGATTGTGTATTAATCTCATTTGTGTTTGTGTAGTGTATTCATCAAATATCTCTCATGGAATAGTCTAGTGTGTTATTTACATAGAATATACACATTTAATGAACTGTCTAGTCCCAAAACAAGCCTCTGTCTGTTGTGGTGTTTAGAACAAAGTGCAACACCTCTCAGGTTTCTAAAATGTCAGTCACAGTTACTACTAGGAGTCCTATTCTAAACAGACCTGGGTTCTTACTTCAACAAAATGTGCATGATTTAAGGACAGGCATTTTATAGTAGGAGGCAAGAAAAGATTTATCAGTTGCATGAATTGTTGGTTTTAATCTTTGTTTTCATATCTAGGGTGTGTGACAAGCTACGATGTACATCATGTGATTTCAATGTGGTCATCCTGAATGACTACGAGTGGCACAAAGATTGTGATTATTTATTCTTCAGAAATAATATACCAGATTTTGACAAGCTTATAAGCAAACTAACAAGGAAAAGAGGTGAGATTGTGGAGAGTTCATTTAAAAAATAGAGGTCACTTCCCAACACTGTGGCCCAGGCTCAATTTCTGACCCTGGCATCACATGTTCCATTGGTTCCCATCCTTACTCCAGGTCACCTAGCTTTCTTCCCTTTACAATGAACATTACAAATTTTTAATTCAACTCAGAAACTTTGGACTGGAAGGACCATCTCATGGAATGTCTGCTACTTAATTATTACTATTATGACTATTATTAATACTTTTTTTTTCTCCTTAAGAGAATGAAATTTTCAATCAAAGATTTTGTTGAGTGTCTGTTATAGAGGTTTTTATTTCATAGTAGGTGAGGGGTAGAAGGGGAGAGGATAACCAAATGTAACCAAATGTAAACTGTACCAGTGTAACACAATCCCATCACCACATTTTTTGCAATTATTTGTGATATTTTTGGACAGGTTGCTGTGCTTATGCCTGCCAGTGTACATGGAAATCAGTTGTGAAACTGACAGAGCTCTGGTCTGGTGATCCACAGCTGAAATGGGTTTGTGGAAAACACAGTTGACATGTCTATCAAGTCATTATGTGAACAGAGTTTCCTAGATACCTATTTAACACAGTTAATGTCAACTGTATAATACCAGCAACTGGATTGTTGTAAATAGGTGTACAGTATGAATATGAAAAAATTGGAGTTGCTACTGTTATGGAAAACTTTGCTGTGTAAGTAGGGCTCACAGATGGAAAGGTTGGAAAACCCATTGGAATCTTGTGTGTAAAATAATTTTATGCCACCTGGCTCTTGATTTCTAAGCAAAGCACACCACTTACTTGACAAAGAGTTAAAATAAAGCGGAAGTTTAATGGTAACGGTGATCATCAAATACAATTAGAACAGGAAATATGATTACATAGTTTCTGAATGACTTTTTTTTGTGTGGGATGCCTCCAGCTTTTTCAAGCTATGGAGTTATGTGAGAAAAGCAGGATCACAGAAACTAAAAAACTGAGCAAGTTTTATTTTACCTAACTTAGAGTGCTATTACTATTACTGGGACTGTTTCCTGCTTTTGTGTAAGCAATTCAGGCAATAGTAGAAGCTGGTAGTTGCACTGTACAAGTCTTTTCCCTCAAACATCAATAGTGCGACCCCAACCAAAAAGAATAAAAATCAACAGAGTGCATGTGTAACTGTTGAATTAAACACTGACCAAGTACCTGATGTTGAACAAGCACATTAGGTGTGAAAAAGCAATCATCATAATTAGAATTTGGAAACAGGAACCAGCTGTGATGTACTGGTGTTAAACCCAATTCATGCGCTATTATCCCCACATAAACATCGTCGATTCGAAATGGATTAATCACCTCAAATGAAGGAACCATACACTCCACCACATCATAAGAAAGAATAAAACCGCCCCCGCTACAATAATCTGGAAAAGCTGAACCAGCATATTCTTTGTGACTAACGGAGAACTTGCCATAGCGACGAACTTCAGCGTTTCTGTTTATTTTCCCCATGTACAGACCATTTTTTGGTGTTGATGGGCGTTGTAAACGAGTTATCAAATCGTTGGTGTTCACTAAAACATCATCATCTGCCTTCAAAAGATATGAAAATTTGCAGTATCTCGCGGCCCACTCAAATCCCATTGCTACTTTCAAACTTTGATTCCAGTAGTGTTCAGAGTAATTAGCACGAATAATATCACCATGGATTTTATTTTCCGCCTTTAGTAGATCAGAATCAGTTTGATTCTTTGTTTGTCCAACTAAAAAATATGTCTTCCATTCAGGAAGGCTGGTTTTGTCCGTTCCCCAAGTTTGACGAATTAAATCCCTTCTTCCGAAATGTGATGGTGCTGAAGATACCAAAACGAGAAGGAAATAATTCTGTAAACAAACAGTCTTGGATATCAGAGTGGTTTTGTGTTGTGACTGAGTTGCTTTCCAAGAGTTACAGTTTTTGCGGAGACTAACTAATAACTTGGGTGAGAGATTAGCCAAAAACGAAGTTAACGCCGTCACCAAAGCGGCTGCCATTGTTAACTTGATAAGTAGCTTATATTTGCTTCCAGTGAACATTTTACTGCAAGGTGGAGCTGACATTTTCCATCTGCCAGTCTGGAAAAACTTTATCACTAATTATAACTTGGCAGGCAGCTGTAGACTGGGGATAAAAAAAATAATTATAACCTAAAAAAAAGGCCAAACAATGAAATGTCCTTGGTGTGCCTCTCCTAACCGAGGTCGTGCAAAGCTAGAAACAGCTGAAACTCATGTGTGCTGATTGGCCAGATTTCGAGAGCACGCTTTGCTCTCGGAGCATGCGATTTTCCATACTTAGAGGAACCAGTTCACGCTGTTACTACGGCGAGCATCAGCGAGATGTGTCCTGCGAAATTTCTGAAGAGTTTTAGATTCTGGTTTGGAATTGTCAGGCGATTCCAAAAATTAATTTGGTTTAAGTGGACAATTTTTCCGAGCTTGAGCATACAAAAATATACATCGCTTGGTTGTCGACCTTAGTAATTGAGCCTAATTGCGCGCTTTTGATCAGACTTCAGAAATTTTTACCAAAAAACTGAGTTCCACTGAAAACTTTATACAAACCTCTTGAGTATATTCGATGTTTGTCTGGAAATGTTGGTTTTTCAGCAACACACTAGAAAACACATAAACATGGTATGCACAAGCTCGTAGAATTTGTCCAATAAAAAGCATATATATATATATATATATATTTCTTAATTGGGCTCAGTGTAAAGCTCTAATGCGCTCTAAAACGTTTAAATTCTACATACACCATAAAGGAAATGGTCAGAAAAGCGTATCAATAGAACTGAACATAGGCGTAGGTTAGAGACATCCTTGGCGCTTTAACTAAGAAATTTTTCCCAGGAAAATTAGCGGAACACATATACATCCATTCATAAGCAGATAGGGTACTAACAAATTGTTAAAAATGACAGCCCAACTTCCCACTCCCAACCCTCTCCTCCATGCTAGTCATAGCGTTTTTTGGTTTTGGTTTTTGTTTGTTTGTTTGTTTTTCTTTAATAAATAATGTTTTTAGCGCTAAGGGCGACGCAAACTGTACGCGAAACCAGTAGCACGCAAATCCACGTGGTAGCATCCTTCCTAGAATGTCCCCCTCAAAAGAATAACTGAAATGATTTACGGTCAAATCCCGCGAAAGTTGTCTCGCCGGAATTCACGCTAACCAAACCTAAAGTTACGCTAAGGGGGTAAGTTTCTGAAGAAACTGTGAAACTCCGTCGGTGGGGGAGTATAACAGATTAATTCCGTATTATCATACGAGTTGATAACGTGAACTGGCCACCGTAAGGAATTTAAAAGCTGACGTTTCGAGCGTTAGCCCTTCGTCAGAGCAATTGGAGGAATTGTGGATTGTGTGGGGTTCTACAGGGGAATATAATGACGAGAAAACAATAATCAATTAGTTGAATGAAGAGCGTGTTGCACCTCCGCCAATGTCATCCACTGCATAACTTGCTCTTAGTGCGAAAAGTTAGACATTTGTGAAACAGGAAGACGACTTGGTGACCGATTCCGAGAAGACCTTCACGACGTAAAAAGAAATGACAAGGACGCATCCAAACCGGTCACTAGACATATTAATCTCCCTAATCACTCAAAGCAGCATATGGCAGTTTGCGGCCTTTCCATACATCTAGGTTGTTCGGAAAGCCGCAAAACTCTAGAACAAAAATTTATCTTTCAAATTGGCACTCTTTATTCCACGGTATCAACAAGCGCATTACATTCAATCAAATTAACCTAGAGTTACGTAGCTCGACTTTTATCAAATTTAAAAACACAAAAATCTAACATACGATTTCATGCACCAACAGGACACCTATTGTTGATACAATTATTAACACCAAGCTAATGAGATAGATGTAAAACACTGGCGTACTTAATCAGATCATGTAAGAATGAGAGAAAGCTACCGCATTTTACAATTTCAAAATTTCTTTGATGCAATTATATTCACTGCTTGACAAGAATGGTACAGACAGACTGATAAGCCGTTTCCTCGTACTTTATTATTACAAAGCTGTTTTAAAGACTCAAAAGCATCAACAGTTACAAGTGAAAGGCATTTCAAGAAATGACAGAAAAATAATCCTAAATAGAATTCAGGCATTGACGGGATTTAAATAGGGGCCTCGAACATTCTGGCTGAATGCTACTTCAAAGTGAGCCGCAAAGCGACTTGTTGGACGAAAAATATGGCATGATTATACAACTATGTTTTATTAAACTGACGCTTTCACAGTTTTTTAAAAAATATCCGTAGAGGACAAGACATATGGCTGATACGATATTAATTACCGACATAAGATATTAGTCATTTCATTCTTGGTGATTGGCACGTTTGACATCACATCATTTACACAGTCACTTCCTTCAGAGTTGGCATTATGTCCTCACTTGATCACGGAGAGGACTTGTGTCACACTCCTTTCCCTTTTATCTCTCCACCCTCTGAGCGAGAGTTTACTTTCTTGTGAGAGTTTACTGGGGCAGTGATCATTGTGAGTGTGTGTGTGTA